ATACATAGGGAGTAAGAAGACAGTGCAAGGTAACATGGGGACCCTAGAGGACAGGCTTGGCAATCTGGTGATTGCAGCAAACCTCTTTAATGAATGCTTTGCCTCCATATTCCTGAGCAGGGATTGGGACAACTCCCCGACTAGGATTACAGACAGGCTCAGAGGACACAACGCCATGCCTAGGGTCAGGGACGATCTCGTTAAGGAACTTTTGGAGGGGCTGGATGTGCTTAAATCAGTAGGTCTGGATGCTCTTCACCTGAGGGTACTGAGGGAATGGGCGGAGGTCATAGCGGGACCCCTGGCATGGCTGTATGAGTGCTCGTGGTGCTCGGGCCGGGTCCCAGAGGACTGGAAAAGGGCCAACGTGGTCCCTGTTTACAAGAAGGAGAGGGAAGAGGACCCGGGTAACTATAGTCCAGTTAGTCTCACTTCGGTTCTTGGGAAGACCTTCGAGAAAATTATCAAGGAGCACATCTGCGGGGGCCCAGCATAGGAGGTCATGCTGAGGGGCAACCAACACGGGTTCATTGCGGGCACATCCTGCCTGACTAACCTGGTTTCGTTTTATGACCAGGTCACCAAGTCCATGGATGTGAGCATTGAGGTGGATGTCATCTACCTGGACTTTAAGAAGGCCTTTGACACTGTTTCTCACCCGATTCTCATAAAAAAAACTAGGCGACTGCAGCATCGATGCCTACACGGTCAGATGGGTCACAAATTGGCTGTATGGTCGCACCCAAAGAGTGGTGGTGGACGGGTCATTTTTGACCTGGAGGGATGTGGGCAGTGGGGTCCCCCAGGGCTTGGTCCTCAGGCCTGCGCTATTCAACATCTTTATCAGCGACTTGGAGGTGGGCATGGAAAGCACGCTGTCCAAGTTGACACAAAGATGTGGGGAGAAGTGGGCACACTGGAAGGTGGGGGGCACGGACAGCATCCAGCTAGATCTAGACAGGGTACAGAGGTGGGTGAATGAGAATAGGATGGAGTTCAACAAAAACAAGTGCAAGGTGCTGCATCTAGGGCAAAGGAACCAGCAACACACCTATAGGCTGGGAAACACCTTTCTTAGTAGAAAGGGATCTTGGAGTCATTGTTGACTCCAGGATGGACATGAGCCGCCAATGCAAGGAAGTGGCCAGCAAGGCTAACCACACCTTGTTGTGCATCTACAGATGCATCACGAGCAGGTCCAGGGAGGTGATCCCCCCACTCTATCCGGCACTGGTCAGGCCGCAGTTGGAGGACTGCGTCCAGTTCTGGGCGCCGCACTTCAGGAGGGATGTGGACAACATGGAGAGGATTCAGAGGAGGGCCACTTGCATGGTCAGGGGGCAGCAGGGCAGGCCCTACGAGGGGAGGCTAAAGGGCCTGAATCTATTCAGCCTCCACAAGAGAAGGCTGAGAGGGGATCTGGTGGCCGTCTATTAACTCACCAGGGGGGACCAGCGGAAAATAGGTGAGGCTCTGTTCCCCCAGGCACCACCTGGACAACAAGGAATAATGGCCACAAATTGATTGAGAGCAGGTTCAGGCTTGATATTAGGAAGCATTACTTTACAGTTAGGGCTGCCAGGCTCTGGCATGGGCCCCCAAGGGAGGGGGTGCTTTTCCCTACCTTGGGGGTCTTCAGGAGGAGGTTGGATAGACATCTGGCTGGGGTATTATGATCCCAGCACTCGTTCCTGCCCAGGGCAGGGGGGTCGGACTTGATGATCTATTCAGGTCCCTTCTGACCCTAGAAACTATGAAACCAACCCTCTAAAATACAAGGACGTTAACACTATGCTGCTTCTGTAGGGCATGATTTTCTAGTGAGAGGTGAGTCACATGATCTTCCTTCTTGTCCGGATGGGGAAACTGAGGCACAGAGAGGGAAGGCCACTTGCCTCTTGCCTCACCATGAATCCATCTTGGAGATGGGAGAAGTTCCCAGGTGTCCTGGGCTGTCCCTTAGCCACCAGACATTGCATTCATATGAATCAGACTGTTTCTGCTGCTACCTGCAGAATGGCAGTGCCTATTGGAAATGCAGGCAGACCCCATCCCCGCCCCAGGTGGAAGGTGCCCGGGGAACCCCAGTGATCATCACTGAGCCCTGATCTGTTTGCAGACTGCTTTGCAAACGGAGGACCAGGAGGGAAATTCATTTAGCAAGGGGTTCTGAAAGACTGCATTTGCCGCTGTCTCTATTGTTGTGTAGGGGTCACAAGTGTGATGTGTGTGTAGCACTCACAAGTGCAATGAAATGTGAGGAGTCTCAGCATAATTCCCTTGCCCTTGGACAGGCTGGGGGTGGGGGAAGTTAAGGCACCTCCCAGCTCTGCCACTGACTTGCTGGGTGGCCCTCAGCAAATCACTTCTTGCCTCCACTTCCTGTTCCACCCCTCGCTTGTCTTGTCTGTTTAGATTGTCAGCTCTGCGCTTACGGAGGCTGGCATTGTGTTTGTGCAGTGCGTAGCATTAATGAGGTCTGCATCTCGGCTGGGCCACTATGGACAGTAACATACTCCCTCCGTCACTGGGCCTGAGGCTGCTGTTGCAGGGGTGGGGAAACTGAGGCAGGGAGAGGGAGGACAGGGGCTTGCCCAAGGGCATGCAGAGGGAGTTCCTGAGTTGCATTTAGAGGATATGCACTTTTATTACACTCCTGGCTTTGCCTGCAGGAAGGCAGGGCAGCGCAGCCCATTAGGCTATAACTTGGGTGGGCAAAATGCGGCCCGCAGGCCAGGTGCGGCCCACCAGGCCATACTATCTGGCCTGTGGAGCCCCTAAAAAATGTAGAAAATGAATATTTATCTGCCCCTGGCTGCCTGTCATGCGGCCCTCAAAGGCTTGCCAAAACTCAGCAAGTGGCCCTCTGCCTGAAATAATTGCCCGCCCCGGCTATAACTGCACTGGAGTTTGTACAGGTCTGGGAAAAGGTGATTTTATTTTTTTGCTCTTTGGTTCCAGGTATAAGTTTAGCAAGGCCTGTCCTAGACACCAAATTGGAGGACTCTGCTAGGATAACAATACCCAGCTCAGCTGATGCCAAATCTCCACTAGGGAGTTCAGGTCTGTGATAGCTAGAGGGAACCGCAGACCTGCAATGTGGCACCTGTCAGGACTGTGGATGCAGGAGGATCCTAGTTTGGGAGCTATTGGGATATCAGCAGGTCAGCAGCACTATGATGCCATGGTTTTTGGCCCAGGGGAGATCCCCTTCTTCTCAGCCTTGAAGGACTTGGTGTTGTTAGAAGGTGAAGACCTGTCCCTTGCACTGCGGGTAGGCTGGCCCCTGCGAGAGTTTATAATGCCTCCCAATGGGCGCATCTCGGCTACACAATTTATGGTGAAGGGGGTTTGCTCTCTGACTTTCCTTCTAGCCAGCTCCTTCAGCCTTTTGGCTCAGGGCAAGCAAGACTAGGGACCATCTGAACTCCACGGCTTCCAGGCTGGGGGATGCTGCCACAGATTTGGGAGTATCTGAAGCCCCGGGCTGCAGAGTGAGGGAGGCAGGAGGCTGCATGAGCTGGGCTGTGGGGGTGATGGGTCAGGACTGGGGGGTACTGGCAGAGCCGTCTGGGTGGCAGTGGGAAATCCAGGATCAGGAGAGCGTGGGCAGTGCTGGACAGGACCCAGACTCGGCAGCAGAGGTGAGTGGCAGAACTGGAAGAACAGGTGTGCGGCAGGAGGTCAGAATGAAGGTGTGTGCTGGGCTGCGCCGGGAGTGTGAGCCCGGCACGGCAGTTGTTGCAGTGGGTTGGGAAGCGCGGTGGGTTAGCACCGAGCCGTGTGGGAGAACTGGTAGAGCAGATTCAGGGCTAAGCCAACCCAGCAAAACACCCGGAGGAAGCTTACTTAGTGCTGGTCCGGGCTGCATGTCCCTGCCTGGAACCAGGCCCAAAGTATAGGCACAAAATATCATCCAGCTCTGGCTGTGGCTTCTGCTCCAACCTGGAAATTATGTCCTGTGCTGAACAGGCGGGACACCAGATCCAGCCCCTCTCAGCCCTTCCCAGGCCGAGCCTGGCACTGGGGACCCCGAAGTCCAGTCCCATCTGTCATGACTTGCTCTGCTACCACAGACAAGCAATGCTGCTGATTCTGGGGTATCCAACCAGGATCTGACTTGGAAAGCACACCCAGTTAATGCCTTTTTCCATGCCTCAGTTTCCCCCCTCTGCAAAAATGGAGGTCATTATTCATACCAGGGCGTTGCTTCATTGAGGTATCTGCAGTGCTAAGCATTTTTTTTTTCTCTCTTAAGGCCGTGCTTTGCTTGCACGGTTAACCCTTTGTGACCCACAGACTTCAGCCACGCTGCCTCTTTCATCTTTTGTTAATTAAATCTCTTACTTTTTCTTTTATTTACAATAAATAATGGCATATGTTACAGAGATCCAAATAGAAAGGCCAAAAACATGCTCTCCTGCTGCAGCCAATGAACAGGAGTCACCCATACCTGCTAACGCAGGGGAAAAAGCAACTATCCCTAAATGGAAAAAGAAAACGAGACTTTGGCTATCAGGTACATCAGAGGAAGGCAGGGGAAAAAAAAATCTATCTGCTGCTTTTCCCTGCCAGAAGCAAACAGACTCCCTTCTCTGTACTCATGCAGTGTCCAGTCCCTTTTCTCTCCCTAAACATTGGTGGGAGCTCTGGGTGCAGGAAGGATGTGGTCTCAGGCCTGTATAATGACCCCTTCAGTCTGGAGTGGGAGAGAAATAAAGACCTCTTGTCTAAAAGGTCAAGGAAATAGCTGTGCAGAACAGCAGAAGTCCTGCCAGAAGTACAGACCATCCTCTGCTGGGTGTAGCCGTCTATGGTTAGGCTAGGAATACGTGCAGGACTTGCACTCGTAATCACACAGGCAGGTTATATATGCAGATTGATGCTCCTTTCTTTCTTGGATAGAAATGGTTTTGAGGTGCGAGGCCTTGTATTCAGCCTATGGTTCTTGGATTATTCATTGTCCTCCTTCCTTCTCCGCTTCTCTCCAGCACTCGCGCTTATGGGGAGGTGAGCTCCATGGACTTCTTCCTCTCTTCCCTCTGCTCTTCCCACTCTTCCTCGGATTCGTAGGTGCCTTTCACGATGGCTATCCGGTCGGACATGTTCATGCAATAGGGAACCAGAATGTAGAAATACAGCAGCGCAGCCAGGACTGCTCCAAGGATGGGTCCTACCCAGAAGACCTGGAAGGAAGAAGGGGATTTCAAAGGGGTGCCACCTTCATCTCAAGAGGAAAAAGGACCTAGTGCTAGAATACAGCTATGCTGGGTGAGCACGCCCAGGCTCTTGCTGCCCCCGCCAACCACATCAAGACCTACCTTGAAACAAGTTTGCTTGCCTACTTTCACCACGCCTGCCCTACCCTAGCGAATATGTTCCAGGACCTCGCCCCTCTGGTGAGGAAACCTTTATCCCATTTTCTCCCTGTCTTTATTTGTGGCTGGCACGTGCCTGCATGTTCGTGCACTAACACTGTTCCCCTCCTTGTGGCATTGGCACAGGGAATGCTCCATCCCTTTTTGCCCTTGAGTTTTGGCAAGCCATCGAGGACCGCATGACAGGCAGCCCAGGGCAGATAAATATTAATTTTCTACATTTTTTAGGGGCCCTGCGGGCCAGATAGAATGGCCTGGCGGGCTATATCCGGCCCCCGTGCCGCATTTTGCCCACCCCGATCTAAACCTACCTTTTCTGCAAAGCCAGGCCTTCCAGTTCCCTCCCCACCCTACATCGCTTGTCTACTTCAGTCCCCTCAAATACCACCTTTCCCCTGGAAAAATGAACCCTGCACGGAGCACAGTTGCCCTCCGAATGAAGACCCACGCTGGCGAGCCCGCAGGTTGCCCAGCCTTCCCTTCTCCTCTGCGGTTACCAGCCCCAGCTGTGATGTGAGCCAGGAGGCCGGCCCTTACCCAGTGGGCGCTGCTGGACCTTCTCATTATGACAGGCTTCTCATTATGGCAGACGGTGCAAAAGATCGGGCAGGATTCATGGAGCAGCCTGTGAAGTAGATCTGTCATGGGCAGAAGGGACATGGGAATTAAGGTTCATTCTGGTCTTTCTGCCCTATGCAAAAGGAGTAACAGGTCTTTCCCCATACCAGTACTGTCCCACCTGGCTTTCTTATACAGCCCCTATGCTAGGAGTGGTGGGCAAGCCAGGCCATGCCCCCTCCACCCCTGCAGGGCTGGGTTGGGCCGGGCTAACCCCACTTCCACTGCACAGCTGGATCGGGGCTGGGCTACCCCTGCCCCCCCTTCCTTGTGGCTGGATGCCTGCCTTGGGTGCCAGATCGGGACCCCCAGTTGGGTGCCAGTGGTGTAGCTGGGAGCTCCTCTTCTTCCCCCCTCTCTACAGTGCCTCCTTTTGGGAAGGGCTATTAGCTGGGATAGCTATAAGTTTCCCAAGGCCAGCACAGCAAAGGGTCTTGCTGGAAGAGGCTGGGATGGGAGCTGCCATCGCTCCCCTCTGCCTGTACGTGGTGTCCTGCTTATCTCCCTGCTGCTGGGAAAAACTGAGTTTAGAGTAGCTGGAAGCCCCCTCTAAGAGCCAGTCCTCCTGCCCCCCGCACTACAGTGCTGTTTACAGGGAAAGGCAACTGGGAACTTCCCTCCTAGCCAGGTCTGGTGCCCCATACCCTCAGGAGGCAGACACTCACCCCAATCAAGTGGCCCAAGGCGACAGAGAGACCAATGGACAGTGCGGGAGAGCCCAGGTTGTCGGTCCGGCGGTTGTCAGTCGAGGCAAAGATGCACATGGCCAGCTGGAAGGTGAGAAGGATCTCTACTACCAGTGCCTGGCCAGGAGTTATGTTGTTGTTGAGCTGCAAACGAGGAAGAATGACGGTTAATTGGCTGCTGGGCTGAGCCAGATAGAAGAGCCCTCCAAAGGCTGCTTAGCATGGGGCCATGCCTGAATCGGGAGCTCTTTCCTATTGACAAGGCACAGCTACAGCTCCATCAGTAAAACCACCCAGAGTTCCAGGCAGTCAAACCTCCCTTCCTTCTCTCGTCCCCGAGAAGAACAAGCCATACTAGTAAAAGCACATTTTACTGGTCGAACTGCATCTATTTCTGCTGGCATTGCTGGAAAGCAGATCGGGGATTGCAGCTCTTAATTCTGATGGACATGGTTTTGGAGGCGGGAACTTGCCAAATTAATATAACTCCAGACTGGATAGAAGCCCAGATTGCACCACCCTCACGGAGAAGACATGATTCACGGTCTCATTGAAAAGAGGGTGCTGGGCCTTTTCCAGAAGGGGACCATTGGTTTTCGTAGCCTGAGAGTGAACGGGCCCAGGGCACGGGTGATTTCTGAAGGATAGGACTTGAGGGGGGTGAGACATGGGGTGATGGTGAGCAGAAGCGGGCCATGTGGCTGTCACACTGGAGAAGCAGGACAGGTCCAGCAGATTTTAATGGAGAGGGTGGGTTTTATGAACAGAGAAGCAACCAGTGAGTTGCAAACAATACGGCCCCCCCTGAGATTTTTTTCTGCCCCTGTAGGCCAGGTGGGGAGGAGGAGGAGGAGGAGGGAGGAATCTGATTCCCTCTGGACCCTGCTTTCAAGTGGGAAATGATAGGAGCTTGGTTTGTTTAGCTTTAAAAAGTGAAGGCTGAGAGGGAATATCATTATTAGCTATCTTCTGTCTGCCTAATTGGGAAGTCTCTGTCTGTCGGCCTGCCTCTCTCTCTGGCATTTGCAAAGCCCTTTTCTCTTTGATAGCTAATGCACCCAAACTGCCAGCACTTGTCAGCTCTGCAGGGAGGATATGGGCAATCTGTGGGGAGAGAACTGCAGGTGAGCTGGAGATCCCATGGCTCTCCATCACCGGGTCAGGGCAGCTGCTGCCGTCTCTAATGAGCCAAGCGCCAGAAGGCTCTGGCCCCTGGGACTGGGATGAAGCTCAGTTCCAGTGAGCAGTGGGAAGCGTGTCTCTTGGGAACTGGCGCACACATCCCAGCTTTGCTCAGGGCTGATTTTGGGTGCTGGGAGGCAGCAAAATGCCTCCTACTAGTCTTGCAAGCTCCTACCTACGCTGGTCTAGCAAGGCTCTTCGAACCTTCCTTATACTGCTCCATGGGGCGGCCACTGCATACTGCTGGAAACGATCTCCAAGCACCTCCATGCTGACTCCAGGGCAATCCTAAAACTACTCTATATATTAGCCAAAGTGCGTTTGAAATGGGTTTCCAGCCTCGGTCTTCTCTCCTGTACTAGACTGAAGAGGATCCCCAACCTCTCATCATCCTTGGCTATGATGGCTCCTAATGCCCTGACCCAAAAGGTCTCTTGCTGCCTTTGTCAGGCTGGTCTGAGCAGGCTCATAACCTCCTTCCATTCTTGTCTCGGGAGGTCTTTCACCTCTCACCTCATGTGGGCCCATGCTGGTCTAACTGAGGTCCCCTCCAGTCCTTGCCCAGTCCCTTCCCCTACCCTACTCAGCAGGAGGCTGCAGTTGACTGCACGCATCTCTGGTGCAGGTGACTCATGCACGCCCTCAGGATAGGAGAAGCACTTATTAAAAACAAAAAGAAAAACCGCCCTGCTAATTATTCGGCATAATCAACCTGTCATGTCAATCCGTAGGCTGGCTATGCCGAGGCTCCCTACCTCTTGCTCCCAGCCCTCTCCCTCAGCACAAAGGGGTGCCAGTGCCCAGGTGCTCCAGTCAGAGATCATCCACCTCCAGTCTCAGCTCACATGAGCGTGGCAACCCGCACACGAGGCAGCCGAGGCCACCAGAGCCATGAATCATCGCCAGATAGGAGGGCACTTACCGCGTTAATAGCTAGATTTCCATGGGTGTTGGCTGGAGTCACTCCATAGAGGATGCCTGCCCCTGTGATGGCGCCGACCAGCTGGGCAACCACGTAGAACAGCATCCGGAAGAAGGAGATTTGGTTGCCCACAAAGAAGGCGATAGACACCGCTGGGTTGATGTGGGCGCCGCTGATGTGGCCAAATGCCTGCACCAGGGTGCCGATGCCCAGCCCAAAAGCCAGCGAGATCTGCAGGATGCTGGGAAGGGCTGAGGGCCATTTCAGGGCCGAGCCAAGGCCAATGAAGATGAAGATGAGCGTCGCGAGGAACTCCACGAAGACAGCTCGAGCAAAAGCTAGGCTGCAGATTTCCTTCCTCATGGTGGAAGCAGAAGTGGGAAGATGGAGGGAAGGAAGGTGCAGCTTTCTTCTGGCTCTCAGGGCTCCGCTCTCTGTAGCCAGGTGCTGGACCATACCTGTATATATACATCCGCAAGAGCAGCAGGGAGCTGTCTAACCAATCAGGTGGGTGGAGCCAGGCACTGGCCAGTCCTCCCAAATTCTCATGTGCAGCTGGAAAAGTTTTAAGCTGAAAATAACTTCAGCGCCTCTTAGCGAGAGAGTGACTCAGGCATCGGTGGCGTTTCTTTCTCCTTTCTTCTTGCAGACAATGGCCCCTATTGAATGTCCCTGTGGTCGTTAGATAACAGGTTGCATAATGATACCCGGAGCCTTGCTTTGCCTTCACTTCTGTTCAATAGTTTTTGCAAGGTGCTGTAGCGTGCTTTGTTTTGCAGCATGTATCTGTTTTCTCTGCTTTAGACTTAAGGTGACAATGTCCTTTTTGGTGGTCACCAGGGGAAATCTGGGGTAACTTTTAAGATCGGTACAGACCTCCCTGCTTTGTGCTAATGGATCAGGGGTCAGGTGCTTATTATAGGCAGGTTGTTCGTGGAGTGCCATGGTTGCACCTGGTTAACCGCTGTGGTACCCTGGAGAGTGCAGCGTATCGGGTGCTGAATTCAGGCCACAGGTATTACAGCGGGAGCTGCGGGAGCTGGGAAATCCTCATAACCCCTGGCTTAGGCTCTGAGGTCGATTCCTTGGAAATGAAGCCACAAGCTCTTTTAGGAATGGGTTTCCCTGCATCTCTTTGTTTCAATGCTCTTTTCAGAGCCTGGTTTTATGAGTACATTACCTTTGCATACAATTTTTACGAGCACCGCGGTTTGGCTGCTGGACAGGGCTGGAGCTCTCACTGCTTTTAACTTGGACGGGTGCATTTTATTTTGTGGCTCTTAGTTCTTTCATTTTACCGGTTGCTTTGCCAGCTTGGAAGCTCTGAGGTGTCCGTGTAAAGTACTTGACTCTGAATGGGTTCATTCCTGATTTCCACATCCTTGCAGTCCTGTTGCCCAACCCCAAATTTGCCCATATAAAGAAAAAAGAATCTGGCTTTAAAAGACCGTGGGTTCAGAAGTGTGCACTGTGGGGAAGCTGTGCCAGGGCTGATCCTTAATTCCTGAGCTCTCTGGGAAGAATATTGGTTGCAGCTCAGCTTCTGATGCTCCTCCTAATTGTTAAAATCTCACAACTTTGCAAGGACGGGGCTGCCTGCCCCCCTTTTCTGGCTAAATCCCAACTTGGCTAATGATATTCAGCCTCCCCAAAAACCTTCCCTGCCATCTAAACTTCCCTGGTGAAAACTCCTGCCTTGCGTTGCCAGGAATTGCCATGCTCCACTTTAAAGGAGGCTGCATTGCAGCTTGGGTGAGCCATTCTTACCAGACAAAGCCATTAAAATCCCTTCGGGATTAGAGATGTTAAAAACTCAAAGGCATTTTAATGATCTCTCCAGCCTGCATGTCCCTGTCTACTGGGTGGAATCAGAAGTGCACGTATTCAGTGCTCCATATTGCAAAAACGTGGGTGATTCTCCTTTACTGCAAGAGGAAGTGCTGTCTGTCCTGAGAGCAGAAGGGAGCTGCGTTCTGCTTCTGCTGCCCAGAAGGTCCAAGTGCACGGCATAAAATTATAAGTGACAGAGGATTTCTTCTAGTCCAGCTCACAATACCCACATTTCTCCAGTTCCCCTGATCAGGAGACAAGTCCAAAAGGAAAATGGTGTCTGTAATCTAGAAACACTTCTCACACCTGGCCCTGCTGGCAGATTTTGGTGAAAGTTTCGCAAGCTAGTTATTCAATATACCCTGGCCAGCTTCCAATGTGAGTTAATTGTTTTCCACTTCCCTTAATTTTTATCTGTAGTTTCAGTTGGATGCCATAAACCTGATTCCTTCCCCAAGAACTCACTCGCGGTGTTGCTAGTCACGGTTGTGTTCTGCCCCAGAAGAGGCTGCATTTTCCCAGCAGGCAAATGACTGGCACGTAGGCCGACCCTACTCCAGGCTCAGTGACCACCCTGCCCTGCCTTCTGCCCGGGCAGGACAGGAATAAAAGGCATTATTACTATTAAGTGTCCCTTTTGGAGGCTACTAGCAATATCATTCTAGGATTGGTGTTATCATGCTCAAACTCTACTGCTCTGTAACAATCTTCCATTGAGCCTGAATGTGAAGATGGGCAGTCGGGGTGACATGAACAGGGAAAACTCCCAGGCTGCACTGGGGATGAATGGGGGTCGTTCATCATTCTCCCTTCACACACCTGCTCAGAGACAAGCAAGCTACGGGAAGCTGAATCAGAGCTGCTTTCTCTGTCTGCCTGATGGGTGTGAACACTTGAAGGCTTCTCCAGCATTACACAACCAGCACACAGCATTGACATCCAGGTCCTCTTCTCCCATTGAGGTGTGTGTGTTATTAAGTGAATAAGTGCCATGCACATGCAGTCCCTAGATTTCTGATATGATTTACCTAACCCTGTACTAGGATGTCACTCATTTGGAGTCCGGATTTCCCACAGGCTTATTTCCATATACAATTTCCACGCACTGGAGTCTACCTAACAAAATGAGATCACTTCTCACTTGTGCAAGAGCCTATTTTTGTTCTGTTTGTACAGCATCATAGACAAGGGAGTCTCGGTTTATGCTAGAGGTTCTTAGAAACTCAATGGCTCAGCCCCATCACAGCCATGATCACTGTTCAGAAGCGGGAAATCTATCCTGATGGAAGAAGGTTAAAAAAAATTAGCTGGTTTTCCTGTTGGCTCAGTTCACAAACATTTATTGATCACATCCTCCTTCCACAACATATAAGTGGATAAATGCAGACCAAAAAATGGGCACATCTTGGGTCTTTCTTCCTACTTGGCCATGTAGTCTAACCACTGAAATGATAAATAGGAAGTGCTGATACAAGTAATATGTAAAGTGGCAAGGTGCAGAAACTGGGGCTCAGGTACTATATTGTGGTGAAGTGGCATGTATATGCGACCATATACTATGGTGAAGTGGCATGTGTGTATGTGACCATATACTATGGTGAAGTGGCGCGCGTGTGTACGTGACCATATACTATGGTGAAGTGGCATGTGTATATGCGACCATATACTATGGGGAAGTGGCGCGTGTGTGTGTATGTGACCATATACTATGGTGAAGTGGCGCGCGTGTGTACGTGACCATATACTATGGTGAAGTGGCATGTGTATATGCGACCATATACTATGGGGAAGTGGCGCGTGTGTGTGTATGTGACCATATACTATGGTGAAGTGGCGCGCGTGTGTACGTGACCATATACTATGGTGAAGTGGCATGTGTATATGCGACCATATACTATGGGGAAGTGGCGCGTGTGTGTGTATGTGACCATATACTATGGTGAAGTGGCGCGCGTGTGTACGTGACCATATACTATGGTGAAGTGGCATGTGTATATGCGACCATATACTATGGGGAAGTGGCGCGTGTGTGTGTATGTGACCATATACTATGGTGAAGTGGCGCGCGTGTGTACGTGACCATATACTATGGTGAAGTGGCATGTGTATATGCGACCATATACTATGGGGAAGTGGCGCGTGTGTGTGTATGTGACCATATACTATGGTGAAGTGGCGCGCGTGTGTACGTGACCATATACTATGGTGAAGTGGCATGTGTATATGCGACCATATACTATGGGGAAGTGGCGCGTGTGTGTGTATGTGACCATATACTATGGTGAAGTGGCGCGCGTGTGTACGTGACCATATACTATGGTGAAGTGGCATGTGTATATGCGACCATATACTATGGGGAAGTGGCGCGTGTGTGTGTATGTGACCATATACTATGGTGAAGTGGCGCGCGTGTGTACGTGACCATATACTATGGTGAAGTGGCATGTGTATATGCGACCATATACTATGGGGAAGTGGCGCGTGTGTGTGTATGTGACCATATACTATGGTGAAGTGGCGCGCGTGTGTACGTGACCATATACTATGGTGAAGTGGCATGTGTATATGCGACCATATACTATGGGGAAGTGGCGCGTGTGTGTGTATGTGACCATATACTATGGTGAAGTGGCGCGCGTGTGTACGTGACCATATACTATGGTGAAGTGGCATGTGTATATGCGACCATATACTATGGGGAAGTGGCGCGTGTGTGTGTATGTGACCATATACTATGGTGAAGTGGCGCGCGTGTGTACGTGACCATATACTATGGTGAAGTGGCATGTGTATATGCGACCATATACTATGGGGAAGTGGCGCGTGTGTGTGTATGTGACCATATACTATGGTGAAGTGGCGCGCGTGTGTACGTGACCATATACTATGGTGAAGTGGCATGTGTATATGCGACCATATACTATGGGGAAGTGGCGCGTGTGTGTGTATGTGACCATATACTATGGTGAAGTGGCGCGCGTGTGTACGTGACCATATACTATGGTGAAGTGGCATGTGTATATGCGACCATATACTATGGGGAAGTGGCGCGTGTGTGTGTATGTGACCATATACTATGGTGAAGTGGCGCGCGTGTGTACGTGACCATATACTATGGTGAAGTGGCATGTGTATATGCGACCATATACTATGGGGAAGTGGCGCGTGTGTGTGTATGTGACCATATACTATGGTGAAGTGGCGCGCGTGTGTACGTGACCATATACTATGGTGAAGTGGCATGTGTATATGCGACCATATACTATGGGGAAGTGGCGCGTGTGTGTGTATGTGACCATATACTATGGTGAAGTGGCGCGCGTGTGTACGTGACCATATACTATGGTGAAGTGGCATGTGTATATGCGACCATATACTATGGGGAAGTGGCGCGTGTGTGTGTATGTGACCATATACTATGGTGAAGTGGCGCGCGTGTGTACGTGACCATATACTATGGTGAAGTGGCATGTGTATATGCGACCATATACTATGGGGAAGTGGCGCGTGTGTGTGTATGTGACCATATACTA